AAGCACAACACTGAGGAGCGAAGACTGGAGATGAATCAAGAGATCCGAATGCCTCCATCACTCACAGATAGAGGGACAGGCTCCGCCAGTAGTTCATCGGAGCAAAGCCATCTCTCAGCAAGCCTATGCACAGAGCACCCCCTGCAGACTCGTTGGCAGAGAGAAACTGAATTCCATCCCTGGCCGTTCATGCAGAATAAAGTGTTCCAAGGCACAAATTCTCCCTGGGGAGCAATGCCTGCAGCAGGTCAGGGCATCCTTTCGATGAAATCTTGCTTTATTTTTATCCACCTGGCTCACTGGTTCATAGCCCCCAGTCCGAAGGTTCAGTGCTTGAGCTCGGCTATGAAAACGTGCATGAAGGATAGCTTCAAGCATCACCACACAGCTGACAACCCACTGAGCTCACCAGACCATTATTGTAGTTTGCTAACTTCTTGATAGACCCCTGGGGGCAAACACAGCTATTTGACTGAGTACCTTTGGCTTGGTGGGTCTCTGGTTGCAGAGGCAGGAGAGCTGCGAACTTTAAAAAAAAACCAAACTGGCCCGGTCTCCTTTTGACATTGCCTCGCCTGCACAGGCTAATCCAGTAGGCTGTCCTTCTTTGGAGGCTGGACAGCTATCTGACAGCAGTGCTGATTCTACGACTCACTATGAATTTCAGCAATAAAGAGGATCGTAGTTGAAGAATACAAAAATAAGAGCCAACTACGAAAAAGCACCAACAAAACTAAATAAACATTTATACAAAAATTTATATTTTTCTAGTTTTGTAATTTTGCCTCAGTCTTTTGTTGCAATATTCCAAAAGTTGTATCAAAGTCTTATTAGTATCAAAATCTTATGAGAGATGCTGATTGCGTAAATTATTTCCTCCACTTGTTGGCTCTTTGCTTAGTGTACCTAAAAGCTCCCTGTTAAAAGACTGCCAGTACCCACAGCAGTACTTCAAAACAGAAGCCAAACGAGAAGCTCAAACCATATCCTCTAGCATTTCGAAACTTGCTTTATCTTTGTTACCCAGGAGACAAAACCTGACATCATCTGAAAAAACAAAATAGACCCATTGAAAATTATTTCTGTGGGACCTATGGCAATTTGCCACACTGAATGAAGGATGCTGGAAATTTCCCATTACAATAGCAGTGAGCATGCATTTAAAATGCACCCACCTAACTGGGATAGATAGCACTGTGTCACCCGTATTAGACTGTGATGAGTGAGGCCTACAAGTCACTCCATCACACGCAGCTGCAGTTCCGCTTCCTCACTGCGCTTTAAGTACACTAAAGAGAGTTGGGTTTTATACCGCTTTTTTCCTGTCTTAAGAGTCTCAAAGTGGCTTACAATTGCCTTGCCTTCCTCTCCCCACAACAGGCACCTTGTGAGGTAGGTGGGGAAGAGAGTTCGGAGAGAACGGTGACTGGCCCAAGGTCACCCAGCAGGCTTCAAGTGGGGGAGTGGGGGATCAAACCACACCATGCTAAAAGCCCTTTGCATGCTGAACACACTGGAGAAGTAAATAATTTTATTTACAACCCACTTGCCAGACACTAGTTTCCCACAGCAGCTCACCTCAGTGAAGAGACACAGAACCCTGTCCCAAGCTGGTCTTTCTCTTGAGGCCTTGTTCTTGGGGGGAGGCAGTGTGCCCTCCCTTAGACCTGTAGCCAACAAGAGGCCAGAACATCTTTCCTCTCACCTTATACATTCCCTGGGCAGCCTTATTGACAATACCGGCCTACCCTTCAGGGTTCTTTCAGCGAGAAAAGGCTAGGAATGAGTAAACAGACCTCAACACAACACTTGGATCCTCAACGTCTGCTCTGATTAACATTTTAATCTTTCAAGTCACTCCATTACTAACCTAAGAGTGCCAGTCCTCAAACAAAGAAACGTCAAGAGGAAATTACAACATGGGACTGCTGAACTTGAGTTCATTCACAAATTCAGAACAATTGAACCCCCAGGGCTAAATAGGGACATTATTGTTGTTGTTCAGTCGCAGTAGAGCCTGATCAACGAAAACTGATCTTTAAGACTTCTGATACCCTGCCTCAATGAAAGTTGATACAGGGAGAATTTGTCTTTGTTGCAGTTTGCTTTTCTGAAATGTGGTTAGCTAGTCTATTTCATAAATTTATTATAATGAAATATGACAGTACTGTCAATTCTTGTTGAATACTTCATCCTTTTATATATTGTGTCTTTTTGTACATTTTTATAACTTTTTTTAAAGTTCAAAAACCAGTTGCAGTGGGGAGGTCTGGCTTGTGAACTTCTCAAAAGGAGAAATGTGCCTGCGTGTATCTTGCTTCTCCCTCTGGGAAGCTCACCAGCCAAAAAGCTCTGAGGAAGAGATGCTTCGAAACAATATGCACTGTGACAATGAACCGTAAGGGAGGCAACTTGAACAGAATTCTGCTGCTTCTGGCCTCTCCCCGCAGCCTTAGCAGGTTAATGGACATCTGGGTTGTGCAGAAAGGCGCTCTTGCCTCATTCAAACTGTCAGCAAGCAGAGCTTGCTTAGCTACACAGAATACAGCGTACATCTGCCTGCCCACTGCTAACACCTGGCAGGGCCCTGACCTACCGTCTCATTCCTGTCATGTTCGCAAACATCTTCAGGACGATCACAATAGGATGGAGACACGTAATGACAGAATTTCACACACCCCCGCGCAGGGAAGGCAGGTGTACAGACTGTCCAGATCTGCTGTCAAGTGGGAACAAACAGGATCACACATATCAGAAGCCGTTCTAAACATGGAGGTCTCCACTACCTGTCTTAAGCCAAGGTTTGATGAGTGAGATTGGAGTCCTTAAGGGCCACTGCAGGGCCATTTCCCTGATGCACCATTTTAGTCCCTCCTCCAAGCCATAATCCCAGCTAAAGGAGGCTGTACAAAGAAGACATTTATATGAAATATCATTTGATAAGTTCAGTGCTGCTCAATGTGTGCATTGTATAGTGTGGTGTAGTGGTTAAGAGTGTTGTACTAATATCTGGGAGACCAGGGTTCAAATCCCTGCTCATGCCAAGGAAGCTTGCTGGGTAACCTTGTGCCAGTCATATACTTTCAGCCTAACCCACCTCACAGGGTTGTTGTGGCGATAAAACGGAGAATGGGATAAGCTTTTTGGAGTCCCCATTAAGGAAAAAAGAGTGCATATGAATAAAAAATATACAGGCAACCAGTTTATTTTATGCAGCACATTGTTTATCCTGCCCCAGAGCTCAAAGTGTCCTACATTTTTCTCTGTGTTAACCTAAATCTTTTGAGGTAGGCAAGGCTATGTAAAAGATAGGATCACAAGACAAGATATGAAACTCAAACTATACCACACTGGCCCTTGCCTTCATCTCCATTTAACTAGACTATAAAGCATAGCTGAAAAGAGCTCTGCCCGAGACAGTACACATCACTAAACCAATCACCTAGGTTAGATGGATCATGAAAAGCTATGGGCATTACAGGAAATGGGTGCACCACGGCATCTTATTGTTTTGATATGCAACCTATACTCCAGACAAGAGGCCACTGTTAGGACAGAATATGGAGAAACAGAATGGTTTCCAACTGGCTAAAGTGTCAGACAAGGGTGCGTTTTATCTCTCTCTGTATGCAGAACAGGAAAATGGGATCTGACTTAGATGCAGGTGGAGAGAAAACTGGTGGAAGGAACACTAACAATTTGAGATACGCAGATGACACATTATTGGCAGAAAACGGTTAAGACTTGAAACAATTCCTGATGAAGGTTAAAGCAGAAAGTGCCAAACAGGATTACAGCTGAGCATCAAGACCAAAGTAATGACTACTTGGAAATTATACAACTTAAAGATGATGATGAAGAAACCAAAATTGTTCCAAGATTTTCCATTCCTTGGCTCTATCATCAACCAAAAGGGAGACTGCATCTAAGAAGTCAGGAGATTCAAACTGGGGAGGGCAGCCATGAAGGAACTAGAAGAGATCCTTAGATGTAAGGGTGTGTCGCTGGTGACCAAGATCAAGTTAATTCATAGTAGAGTGTTTCCTATGGGTACGGGTGTGAAAATTAGACAACAAAGAAAGCTAACAGGAAGTAGATTCCTTTGAAATGTGGTGTTGGAGAAGAGTTTTACAGATACTGTGGACCACATATACTGTGGACTATGGATGTGCATTCGGTTCATCTAAACCGAATGCACCCCCGAAAATGGCCCATTCAGGCCCCTTTCAGGCTGCTGCGGGCCGATTCAGATTCTCTGATCTGAATCGACTTCAGCCCCATTATTATCCTATGGGCCATTGAAGTCAATGGCGAAAACATAGGGTATATTCTGTGGGCTGGAGGGGAAGGGGTTTGAGGGAGAGTCTCCAAACCCGCAGGGTAGCTGCTGGAGCCTCTTCCCAAGATACCCACCAAGTTTCAAGAACATTGAAACAGGGGGTCCAATGTTCTTGAAACTTGGTGGGTATCTTGGGGAGAGGCTCCAGCAGCTACCTGGTGAGTTTGGAGACTCTCCCTCAAACCCCCTCCCCTCCAGCCCCCAGAATATACCCTATGTTATCACCATTGACTTCAATGGCCCATAGGATATAATGGGGTCGAAATTGACATTCGGCTGGCCCAAAAACTCCCCAATCTGCTGGTACTGCCGAAATGGACATGCAAGAGTCTTTTCTGCCTGCTGAAATTCACTGGAAAAGACAGTAATGCTAGGAAAAGTTGAAGGCAGAAGGAAAAGAGGAAGACCCAGCATGAGATGGATTGATTCAATAAAAAGTCATGACCCTTGGTTTGCAAGACCTGAGAATGGCTGCTAACAATACAAGCAAGTCACGTGCTTTCCCACCAACCTACACTCCTCTATCCCACCTATCAAGTCTATAGTTATAGTAACCTAACAAACTAGTGCTGGAATGCCAACCTGCTATGGATCCTGAAGATGACCTGAGGGAATCAGCCTCCATCACCATTCATTAACAACCACTTGACTCTGCCATGGTGCAAATTATATATTTATTAGTACAACAACAATAAGCTCCAGTTATTTCAACTTGAAGACATTTGATATCTCAGCTGCTCTCGTGAGCACCTTGTAGTTCATACCAGCTACAAGACAGCATCCAGATTCCTTGAACCTGTTAAGAGAAACCAATGCAACTTAGTTGTCTATGTTATTGCAGGCAGTAATTATAAGCAAGTTGGACAGTGCTAGGAGTACAAACAATTTGCTTTTCTACCCACACAGTCTCATAGCAAGTTTGCAGAGCCTTAGCAATGGAAGATGCTGCACCTCAATTCCCTACTTGTACTTTTTGCAATAAGAGGAAAAGAAGAGGAGATTGGATTTATACACACCCTTCACTACCAAAAGGAGTCTCAGTGTGGCTCACAATCTCCTTTCCCTTCCCCTCCCCACAACAGACATCCTGGGAGCTAGGTGGGGCTGAGAGAGCTCTCTCAAGAACTGCCCTTAAGAAAACAGCTCCAAAAGAACTTATGACTGACCCAAGGTCACACCAGCAGCTGCATGTGGAGGAGTGGGGAATCAAACCCGGTTCTCCCAGATCAGAGTCCTCACTCTTAACCACTACACCAAACTGGCTCTCTACACCAGACGTTTCTCTATATGACTGTGGTGACCCAAAAGTCCAACTTTACTTGATACAGTAAACCACTACAGGAAACAGAATATGAACAAATCAATAAATCTACAAAAGCATGGGACCCACATTAACATGCTTTACAACCCACTTTTGGTCTGGTACCCAGAGTTTGGGAAAAACTGCTCTAAAACAGGGGTCCCCAAACTTCTGAACCTGTGTGGGCACATTTGGAATTCTGACACGGCATGGCGGGTATAGACAAAAAAAAAATGGCTGACACGGGAGGCAAAGCCAGTCCCAAAATGATTGCCAAAGTTTTCTGCAGTAATGTGGTGTTTTAGTGTAGCCTTGTGTATTGGTGACTACCGCCGCCAATGCAACACTTCAAAAAAATCTACACAGCCAATGAGATCTCCAAGTCAGTTAGAAGCCTTGCTGAGCAAAAGCCCTACCTGACCCCACCCGCTTCCTAAAAACACTTGGCAGGCACACTTATGCTGCCGGACGTGTATTAAGGTGTTCTATGAGCATCAGCTGTGCAGTCTTGGTAGATTTGCCTACAGAAACATATACAACAAGCGCATGCAGCTTCAGATGGGGACAGGTGACACAGGAACACATCAGTATCAGTGGAATCAGACCATCTGGCTAGAACAAGTTTGGTCAGCATTGCCGATATGATGGGGAAAAAAGTTGAGCGTCATCATATACCACTGAATGACATGCCTTGTAGCACCTCTGTTTTACTAAAAGGGACGTTTAACATTGACCATAAGCAACCGAAGACTCACCCTGCAACCTTCAGGAGATGTTCGTCTAGAGGAATCATCCAAACTCTACAGCATTCTTTCAAGCATCCGAATCTGAGCCAACTTGTCTTTAGATCTGCAACACAATTGCAGGGCGTATCAAAGTATGAAAGCCATTTTATACAAAACTGGAAGAACCCGGTTAAGTAGTAATATACTATAGTACAGCAAAGGACTGGTGATCTGAGTCTAAGAAACCTGAAAGAATCTGTTAGCAAACCATTCTATCTTCCCTTGGTAGCACCATTCCTTTTGCTATATGAGAAAAGAAGTCCCTACTATTAACTTTGCATTCTCTTGCAATTCCAAGGTGTCAGTCTCATGCACTGACCACACAGAACCCAGGGAGATCTGAGTATGCATCCTCCACAATATGCTAGGTTGTGTTGCTTAATTTCCTTTCCGCCACCCCAACACCAGGGAGCTCCAAGTAGCATACTTAAGTTGCCCCCCCAACACTAAGGTATCCTCTCTTAGCAACCATGTGAGGTTGGTTTGGCAGAGATTGGGACTGAGCTGAGCTGGTATTTTTTATCTTCCTAGTGCAAGCCTGATTCTCCAAAGTTTAGTTTTTACTAAGGTACAATGAACTGCTGAGTTGATCCACATCAGACTGCAGCTGAGGGCCTCAAATGATTGAATTCACTTCCAGACATGAAGGACTCCTCTTTTGACCCAACACACTAGTTTTCCATAAGGAAGGATTTGAGAGAATACAAAGCTAAGCTGGTACACCCTCTGACAAGCGTATCGCCGTCCCAATCTGCTAGATGCAGTGTAATGCACTGGTACCCAGACATGGTCCCCGGGGGTGCCACCCTGTCTGCGAATTGTTTCCTGGCATCAGCCGGATTCCAAGTTCTGGGGATAAACCCATCGAGTCTCAAATGGAAAACACAGAACTTGGGTGGCTCCTCACCAGGTGACTAACACAAGCCTAAGCTCTCACCCACGTGCTTCTCAGGCTTTTAAATCCCCTCCCTGGGGATGTAGAGCAAGCAATATTTTCCCTTTGGATACTGAAAGAAAGCAAAATATAATAGGGGCCAGCAGCACTGTAGAGATGAGCCCAATTTTACTCCAACATAAGCTTTTATAAGTCAGAGCTCTCTTTTAACTTAAAGACACTTGCTGCCTCCTCACTGCAAAAGGATGTTTAGAAGATTCCAGGAGAGACAGCTCCCTCTGCAGACTCAAAAGCTCCAATTCAGATAGGACAACACTTTGCGAGAACCTCCCAGTACTGCAATTGGCCCCACCCCATAGCAGCCATTTTGAACCTGGACTTGTTCCCATGGCAGCCATTTTGTAGTGGTGCCCCTTCTCAGATTTCTAGAAGTACCAACAGGCTCACCAAGGTAGGTCTCCCAGTGTAGCAGTTACAATGTCAAACTAGGATCTAAGACTTACACTTAAACCCCCACACTATTATGGGACTGCCTTGGGTGACTTTGGACCAGCCACTGGCAACCCAACCTACCTCATTATTAGCATGACAATAACAAATGTCCTAAGGACAAGACAAAAAATGGGAAAGCTAAGATAATGCACGCCCTGACCTGGATGGCCCAGACCAGCCCAATCTTGTCAGATCTAGGAAGCTAAGCAGAGTTCAGTCTGGTCAGTATTTGAATGGGAGACTAGCCAAGGAACACCAGGGCCGCTATGCAGAGGCAGCCAATGGCAAACCACCTCTGAACGTCTCTTGCCTTGAAAACCCTGTGGGGTTGCCATAAGTCAGCTGCAACTTAACAACATTTTACATGCACACGAGGTAACACCCACCCAGTTGCAAACAATATTATTTGGGACGAGGGGCTTACCTGTGTACTTCTTGCGTATGTCCAGGCATTTCAGTGGAACAAGAGGTCCATTTCCCAAGGCTTAAGTCACCCTCTCTTCCCCATCAGTCGAGTTCAACTACTCCACGGAACTCATCAGTGTCACCCATCCTAAAATGATGCAGAAAAAAACAGGAGTTTTTACTGTTTCTTCGATGCCTTAGTAAACAATTTGCTCACAACTTAAAACACACTAAAACCACACAGCCATTAGAAACAGTTACGCTGATGTATCAGACAAGAGCTGGCTAAAACAGCAAGATCAACAGGGTCGGTCTGCTGGGGAAAAAAGTTTTAGTCATCACGCACATCAGCTTTAGACTCACACCACAGAAGGGACAGCCCACTCCGGTACAAGATACTTGGCAAATATAGAGTTCTTCATTTCTGCTCTCAAATTAACAGCTTGCATGCATAACGTCCCTCACCTCCCAAATGCAAGCCACTAATAGATTTACATGTGGCTTAAATCCCAAAGAAGTGGGCATGTAGCAATGTACTATGCTTTCCAGCCACATGATCATGCATGCAAATGGCACCTACGGACAAAGTCTACAAAAGATAGGCACGACTGTATTGGAATCTTCCCCCAGATTTTCTCTGGCAAGAAATACAGCTCTTCTCCCACATTCATGCTTCCTACCAAACACTGCGCTTTTAACAGCAAACTGAGTACACCCCAAAGACACATCCCTTAGTCTTGGATAAAATTCATCACAAAATTCTTAAATGGCAATTTGCAAAAATGTTTTTGTTTGATAAAACAGAGGATTGTGGATACTGATAGGCAGAATGATATACTGTAGAACAGAGACATGGAATACACTTCTTGACCCCATTAACAAAGTTCTACGGCCTATTTTCACCATCTGCCAAACCACAAATATAGGAGAACGTTTACTCTTATGCACTGGGACGTTCTTTCTCTAGTGATTACAGAGGGAAAGTGTAAGAAAATCCCATTTGAGGAATGTATATGCCCCTGCTGTAATGAAGGCATTGAAAATTTAGAACATATTATGTTCAATTGTAAGGCCCATAATAATCTCCATAAATCACTTCTGCCTCCTAAGTCCTTGCCTCTCACTAGTAGGCAAAATGTATTATGAAAAATCTCCTTGGGGACAGACACTCAGAGGTAACGTATCAAGTGGCTACATATGGTTGGCTAGCTTTAAGAATTAGAAAAATCTATAATAACGCAGCAAGTGATCTTACTGTCAAGTGTCTGTCTCTTAATAATTTTAAAATGCACTTTATTGCTGTTTTAAGCTTCTTTTACCTTTGTTTACAGGTGCTCTTAAAGGTAAAAGGTAAAGGTTCCCTTGCTCGAAAGCCAGTCGAATCCAACTCTAGGGTTGCGGTGCTCATCTCCGTTTCAAAGCCGAAGAGCCAGCGCTGTCTGAAGACGTTTCCGTGGTCATGTGGCCGGCATGACTAAACACCAAGGGGCTCTTACTACCTATTAATTTTCTTGTGTTTTAAACGTTAATTGCTGGCTTCGTCCGTAAGTAAAACTAAGACAAAAAACTGATGTGTCTGTTTGCATTCATGTTAACTATTACAACCATAAGTTAATGTGGGCAGACGATCAGACCCCAGAGGTTTTACTGTATTAGACCTGCTTTTAAGATAGCAGCCAGAAACTCACCCATCTTTGCAGAGGCAGGAGAGCACTAGAGGTTCCCATCACCACCTCCTGCTCTGACAAGGTCGCTCGCAACAGTTCAGGCATTGCCCTCAATGGCAGGACACCCAGTGTGCAAAGAGCAAAACCTTCCACCTGCAAATCCAAACGTAAAGCATTAGCCATGGAAGAGAACGTGAAGGGAGGAAAGGATGGCTGCCAGACCCCCCCTGCCTCACCCCCCCTGTGTTCAGTGGTGTATCAGACAGGTTCTGGCTTAGCAGCAAAGAGATCAACACTTCCGCTCTGATGGGGAAAAAAGTTTTAAGTCATCACGCACACCACTTTTCTAAGACTTTCACCAGTTAAGGCTCCCAGGAAGTCACATGATCAAACCTAATAACAATAATGAAGCAGCGGGAGGGGCAGCTGTTAAGAATGCTGGAAACCCACATTCAAATCCCAACTCTGCCCTGAATTGCTCCATGCGTCGTCGGTACATTTTAAAGCTTGCTTTAAAATGTTCGGATTGTTCACCACCTTGGGGACCGCCAAGTTGGGTGGGTGGAAAGGCAGGATAAATATGTCTTAACTGAATAAAGCACGTGGCCTGAGCTACTACTGGGCATTCCCTCTCAAGCCACAACTACCACACAAGATTGTAGTGAAGACAAAAAAAACCGGGGGGGGGGGAGAGGAACAACCCTATGCTCCTTAAGAGAAAGGCCAGGCTAAAAATGTACTAAATAAGGTAAATTAATCACTAAGAGGCTCCGGAGAGTATACTGGGAGGCAAAAAGTGGTCCTTCCCGGCAGGAAACCAAAGCAGAATAAAGGATAGAGCATAACAATAGCATGCAGCAAACAGAGAGAGAAAGCGGCAACCTTCCCAAATGTCCTGCGATGGCTCTTTGGCTGCGGCCCTTGCAAGAGCACAGAAATAGAACTAGTCCCAATCCTCCTTACCAAGCCTGTAAGCGGCCAGATCCAGGCGGTTAGCCGTGTTGGTCTGAAGGAGCAGAACGAAGTTTGAGTCCAGGGGCACCTTTAAGACCAACAAAGTTTCACTCACGGGATGAGCTTTCTCGCGCGCGCGCGCGCACTTCCTCGGGTTTCTCAGGAACCTAAGGAAGCGTGCGTGCGTACGAAAGCTTATACCTTGAATAAAATTCTGTAAGCAACCAATATAGGTCGAGTGGAGCAAAGCGGGGCGCGAAGAACGTCTCAAGAGAATTAGAACCAGGAAAAACCGACCACCGAACTGGATGGTCACGGATCGCCCACCCCTACCATACAACCTACCAGTCCGCAGTTCGATGGAAAAGAACGCGCCTCGCCGCTCTACGTCATTATATAGCTTCACTGTGTCTTCAGTGCGCATGCTCTCTCAAGGCACCCTTGGGAAATGTAGTCCTGCGAAAGCCGTGGCTACGGGTTCTTTTTGCCGGGGGGTGGGGTGGTTTGCATGCGTTTCTTTCCGAAGCGGGGGGGAGGGGGGAAGAAAAGTTGTACTGAAGATTTATTTATTTATTAAAAAAACGATAATACACATTTATCGGAAATCTGCTGGGCTGAAGTAGAAGTTGGTAAGAGTTAATAATAACTTGGGGTTACTAAATCCATGACCCACAGGATTTACTGTTTATTCCGTTCTGAGGATTAGGAATTAAGGATTTGTCTGTGACTGTCTGATGCAACATCAGGAAGGATGTTAACCTGATCGAGGTTTTAAAAAAAAATCCCTACTCTGCAGTGAAGTTTGCTGGGTGACTTTGGGTCTGTCACTCTCTGCCAGTCTAACCTACCTCACAGAGTTGTTGTAAGGATAAAACGGAGGAGGACGGAAAGAAGTATGTGGGATAAACCATAGTAATAATAATAATAACAACAACAGCAGCAACAAACAAAAAGAGCACTGAATGACTACACCAACGAAAGCAAAGATAAGTTTCTAGCTGAAGTGTACAAGGAAGATTTATTTAGGGTTACAGCAAACCAAAGAAGATTACAAAAAAGACTGCATCAAAAGCACTTGCATGGGCAATATTTGAAAGACAGAGAGAATAAAGTTGATAACAACAACACCCGGAAGTGGCTCCAAAATGGGCACTTGAAGAAAGAAACAGAAGGACTCTTTCAAGCTGTACAAGACCTGGAAGTCAAAAGGAATAGTATGAAAGTCAAGATTCAGAAGACCAGTGATGACAGCGAATATTGACTTTGCAAGACAGACGGTCAGTGCCTGCAGTAAAATTGCTCAGACTGACTATAAAGAACGCCACAATAGACTTGCAGCTATGTTGCACTGTAAGCTTTGCAAGAAGCATGGTTTCCCATCAGCCAGAAATTCATGGGAACACAAACCAGACAAGATCATGGAGAATGATGAAACAAAGATTCTTTGGGACTTCCAATTACAAACAGATAAACACCTGGAGCATAACAGCCCTGATATCACAATTGTAGAAAAATGAGAAATAGGGTCTGGATGATTGACATTCCAATCCCAGGAGGCAGCAGAATAGAAAAGAAAGAACAGGAGAAGATCACAGAGTATCAAGACCTACAAATAGAGAGCCTCTAGGAGAAGAAAGTTACCATTGTGCCAGTTGTCATTGGAGCTCTTGGAGCAGTGGCTAGAAGTCTCAAGAAGCACCTGGGCATCTAGCAAATAACACCAGCTCAGCTCCAGAAGACAGTATCGCTTGGAACAGTGAGAATCCTGCAAAGATACAGCTGCAATTCCCAATAATCTAGCTATATCTTGAATTGCAGAACACCATCTACCAGTCAAATATCTTACTGTGACCATTCATAATAATAATATTAGTAGCAGAAGAGGCCATTTTGGTGGGAGCAGATTTATTCACCACACTGCTTTGGGACTCCACTCTTGGCATGTATATACAGTGTGTCAGCCAACCCCAACATCAGGATTTCCTAAACACTGGCACCAGAGTATGCAACACAAAGAGGAAAAGTCAGTACATGTTTGTGTGAAACAGTAGGGATAGGGAGGTAAGCTAATCGGTGGGCAAAGGAAACAAGAATGGGGCAAGAGGGGCCCAAGAAATACAATATGTTGGATCACACAGATTCATTCTGATAAGGGTTGTGTGTGTTCAAGTGCCTTGATCAAAGGGAAAGCACCACTGTGGGAATGGAGCCACAAGATCCAGACCAGTAACTATTAAAATCCACACACACACCAAAAAACCTCTCCCTCATCTCCAGAGGTGTTTGTCCTCAACCAGAGTGCTGAAGTAAGCCACAAAATTAGACCTGGGAATGACTTCAGTTCAGGTCTTCTGTCCACAGCTGTCACTGTTTCTGACACCCCCCAAGTGAGGGCAGGTGGGGCTATTGTCCAGCAGGACTTCTGATTTGGCCACTGAAGATTTGGTTAGCTGTGCAGATTTTTTAAAAGTTGCTTCAGGAACAGCTGCCACCACAGAAGTATCTTCACTGCATTACTGTGTGTGTATGCAAGAAAATGTTTTTAAACCGTATGTTCATTTTAAAAAGGCATCATGTTAAACCAAACTTCTATGTAAAATTCTGATGAGTTACTATTAGAGTTTTGTATAACCTCACTCCCTGACATTTTGTGGTTTGCTCCGTCTCTGGAGAAAGCCATTTTGTAGTTGTACCCACCACCATGTTTCAGAATTCCAAAGGTGCCGGGGACTCTTGGTGTAGACATTACGGACCTTGATAGCCCAGTAGTCTGATCTGGAATAAGGTGACTTCATGTGTCTTGTAACCTTGGACATGCACACATACATACAAAGTCCTTGCTCAGCTTGTTATCATTTGGTTTGGTTGGTTACAGCAGATCACCACTTGCTGGGCCTTTCTTTATGTTGCGCATTACAACCAAAAAGAATATCTCTATGTATATGCAGCATGTACTTCCCTCATTATGAATTATCTGTATGTGGTAGTCATTTCACTGAGATTAGAGAGGTACAGCATCCTACTGTATGCATTACAGATCTTGGTCTGTTGCAGCAAAAAACCTGAAAAGGAGTCTGGCACCTTAAAAGACTAACATATTTGTTGTGTCCGCTGGCCGCCACCGGGGCCAGCGAGTATCCCAAAGCTTGACTCTGGGAGAACAATAGGGACTAGGCTCCTAGTCCCTCCACTGGGGAGCCAATGAGCACCGTGGCGGGAGATTCAAACCCACCAACGGGGCTCAGGGGTGTGTCCCCAAGAGTGTATATAGTTGGCCTGCCGGCCGTTAGCGGAATCTCTGGTTGTGTACCAATAAAGCGTGCTATGCACTATGCCAGTCTTTGTCCTTCATCCATGCGGCAAACCCCACTACACAATAATATTTATTGAAGCCCATAGTAGCAGATTTATTGAGCTCATGAAAACTTACACTTCAATAAATCTGTTAGTCTTTAGGGTGCCACAAGACACCAGCTGGATATGTGGGATTTACAACACTGCGTTTCAGAAACTGAGTGCTGAAGGTTAAGTGGAGATCCTGGGAGGCAGGGGGAGAGATGTGTGTTAGGAGGACCGATATTGAGAAAGAAGGGGGGGAGCTGAAAACTGGAGAGACCGGAAGGACTGGGGAATCTGGGAAAGGAAGTAATGGGACAAGAGGGGGAACTTGAAATAGGCATTTGGAAGGGTTGCCAACCTCCAAATGGTGGCTGGAGATCTCCTGCTATGACAACTGATCTCTAGGCAATAGAGATCAGTTCACCTGGAGAAAACGGCCTAATTAAGTCCCTCCCCTCCCCAAACCCCGCCTTCCTCAGGCTCCATCAACAAAATCTCCAGGTATTTCCCAACCCAGAGCTGGCAACCCTGGCATTTGGGCATATTTGCAAGGGGGGTAGTGTTTATGCTGGGAAGCTAAAGTGAAAGAAGCTTGGGGGTTGCTGTGGGTTAATGGAGGGAAGGAAATACAGTTTGGAATGTGGGCAACAGCAAACTGGGGTTTGGGGGGTGTAGTGTATTCCAAAGCTGCCATGGAATGCATGATGTATGTGAAACATCTCATTGACTTGTAATGTTAAGCTTCGTCCTGGGCTAGGATCCAAATACATCCAATCGTGTTACTACCCCAGGAAGCACCTAACCAATCACCTTCTAGCAAGCTCCCTGAGCGGGAACATCCGTGATTGGTCCTTATATGAACAACCTTATTGGTTGGTATTTGTACAGTGGGTGTGGCTACATTAGCCGGGAATGTTTAAAAGCAGGACAGCTGCAATGTAAAGGCTGTTCTGGCTATCAGATGTTGATCCGTGTTTGAGTTGTGTTCGAGTTGAAGAATAAAGTCGTGTTCTTGCTGAATCACTCTCCAACTGCTTTGTTAAGTGAGTGACTTAATGGGGGGGGGGGAGATATGGAAGAGGAGGAGGAGGCCTGGAAAAATATCTAGACCCAACAATTCTCAACCCTTTATGGAAATAAAAATGCTTTGTGAGCATCCATGCAGGAGTCCCTTCTGCTGAGTTGGCAGAGAATGCCTTATTAGCTGGCCTCCAGGTGGCAAGGAGTGGACCTGGGGCCTTCTGCAGGCAAAGCAGCTCACACAGATCAAGATGGGCAGCCGTGTTAGTCTGTCTGTAGCAGCAGAAAAGAGCAAGAGTCCAGTAGTCTTTAAGGTGCTACTGGACTCTTGCTGTTTTCTAAAATTTGTGGCAGGCTATGAGCTTTTGCGAGTCGCTGCTCCCTTCTCCAGATACCACACAGAGCAATCCTATGCAGAGTTACTCCACTCTAAAACTGCTCAAATAAATGGGCTCAAACTGGAGTATCTCTGCATAGGATTTCCCCGTAACTCTGCCACTGAGCCACCACCTTGCCACAACAGGTATCTCCTTGCAAGTAAATATATGAAGATGTGAAGGTGCTTTATGTTGAGCTGGGCCACTGGTCTTTCAAAGTCCATGTTTTCTACTCTTGACTGGCAGTGGCTGTCCCAGGTTTCAGGTCAAGGTCTTTCATGTTGCCTCACCTGGGCTGAGGCTCAGTGGTAGAAAGTCCTTGGTTCAATCCTCAACATCTCCAGTTTAAAAAATGTGGATGACGAAGAAGCGACTGTTTGGGTTTGGGCACTGTGTTAGGCAAGCCTCTTCCAAGTCCAGGTACCCCAGCTTCTTCTCTGGACTGAATAATCCAGCTAATGCAGATAGTGTCCAGAATTATTCACTCCCAGCAGAGGCAGATTTGAATGAGACAAAGCCAATGAATCATTTAGACAGCAGACAGATTCCTTTTGGGGCCAATGCATTGCATTCTCAGGAGTCCGTAACTGTTTGCTTCATTTATTTCACAGACTGTGCTCTTGCAATACTCCACTGTGTCCAGTGTTGCAGTTTGAGAGTTAATGACCTAACACTCTCTTTTTTATCCAAATTCCACCTCCTTATTAGAAGCAGTTCCTGTAATCTCTTAAATCTCCATTTTCCCTATAAGTACAGCTTTTCTGAATTTCAGATGTGTTTTGATACACCAGCCCTCCGGAGCACTAGCAATTATTGCCATTGTTTTCTGCCCAGGGATCAGACATAATGGCTGTGCTTACAGACTTTCTTATGCTCACGGTGGAAATATTTAGATGTATCATCCATTCTCTGCTTCAGTGGATAATGAAACCCCCGGAGAAAACAGTTGCTAATGAAATCTGCTTGATAGCAGGAGCAGCCAGTACAACTGGCATTGGGCGCCTTTTGGCACTGGAATTTGCCCAAAGGAGAGCTACCCTCGTCTTGTGGGATGTTGACTCAGAAGGTAATGAAAACATAGCGAGGGAAGTGCGTGAGCTGGGCGTCAGGGCTTATGCTTACACTTGTGATGTGAGTCGACGGGAAGAGGTCTACGCTGCTGCTGAGAAGGTGAGGAGAGATGTAGGAGATGTCACCATCTTGGTCAATAATGCCAGCATCGTAACTAGGAAGCCCATCTTGCAGTGTCCAGATGAACTTCTGGAGAGGACCATGAGGACTAACTGTCATGCTCATTTTTGGGTAAGTGGCATTTCTTGCAACAAAAATGAAAGCATTCCATCTAACTCTTCCAGAGTTCTCAGTCCATTTTCTCCCACAATGAAATCTCCTAACAGAGACATATTGATTAAAGTTTCCCTATGAGCAGAAGCATGAACTGGGAGCCTGCAGCTCTAAGAGCCCAATCCTATTAATTCAGAGCCGGCCTAATCATGGCAGTGCAAGTCCACAATCCTCTGTGGCGGGTGCAGTGGCGGACCTACATTTTTGGGACCCTGAAGCTTGAACTGTTATGGGGGCCCCTTCTCAACCAACAACAATAGGGCAATATCCAACAAGGTCCAAAGAGCCTTTGCTACCCTTGCAAGGACCTAGGGGCCCAAATGGTGGAGAATGGGGTGGTGGGGTGGAGCCCTTGAAAATGGACCATACACCAGCAATGAGGTCTGGGTAACCGCTGTTCGGATTCTGCAAGCCCCTGAGAAAATTTTGAGATTTGACCAATTACAAGGGTCATTTTGAGGCCACATGAAACGGGTATTAGAGCATATTCTAAGGTCAATATTAAGTGCTTCAACCCATTGGCTTATGATTCTGTCATTAAAATAGCATTTTAATAACAAACACTTAAAAAAATTCCATCAATTTTGTTGAAAAATTCACTCAATTAAAAAAAAAGGTTGCTTCAGGGCCCCTCCAGGGATTAGGGGCTCTGAAGCTTAAGCTTCATGAGTTTCTGTAGTAAATCTGCCCCTAGGTGGGTGCTGAGATTTCAGAGGATAATCTGTGCCCTACCTGGATAAAACAGGCTAGCCTGATCTCATCAGATCTCGGAAGCTAAGCAGGGTTGGCCCTGGTTAGTATTTGGATGGCAGACCATCAAGGAATATCAAGGGCGCTACACAGAGGCAAGCAATGCCAAACTACCTCTGAAAGTCTTGGTCCTTGAAACCCCTACGGGGTTCCCATAAGTCAGCTGTGACTTGATGTGGTGAAATGGCTGCCAGGCAGAGGCAGCAGTGTATTTTAAAATGGATGCCAGCCTGGTAGTCCTTAGGAGGGGGGAGGTACTCCTTAGGGAACAATGGAGCTGCCATACCTCCCTGCCTACAGTTCCCGGAAGCTGTAGGGAAAAGAGCAGGAAAATATGGACACACCCCAGGGGTGGAGCCAGGGAGGTAGAGGCTTTGGCTCCTGAGGGGGGAAGTTCAGTCTCAGCCTGGTCTGGCCTTCAGCTCAGCTTGGACGGCAGCTTCGAGGGAGCGTACAGGTGGGGGCTAACCCTAACCCTAACCCTAACCTCAAACTCCAGGGCATCCAGGCCACTATAAACAGTGGTGGACAGCCAGGAGAGTAACTGTACCAGTGACCAGTCTGGTGGAGGGCTGGGGGGTTTCTCCACAACAACAGGAGGGGGAAAGCAAAACCCATCCTGAGGCCCACAACCTCCAGAGATAGAGAGGGGTGTATAGGGGACAGAGAATTGGTGTTTTAAATCGTATTTATTTTCTGCCCAGGTTGTGTTAATGTGCTTTTGTTTATTTTCTGTGCTTAACTTGTACATAGTTAAAATAAACTTTTTTGAGTTAAATAAGACCTGGTGTGCTGTGACCACCTAGTCATCCCTGCTCAGCATGTTACCAGGGGCAAAGGGAGGATAGGGAACACAAACGGGCCCAAATCGGAGGGGTTTCCAACTCTCCAAAGGGCACCCAACGAGTGTGGTACCAACTTCCCAAGGTTGGGGAATCAGCCAGAGGGGTCTCACTGTCCCTCTGGGAAGGCGATGTCAATTCAGTGAGTGGTGGCAGCATGTAACGAAAGGAAATAGCCCCACCAGGAAAGGGTGGGAAGGCAAAAACAGGGGCTTGCGAGCCACAGAACGGCTGAGGGTGGGTCCCCGTTTCACCACACTTGACAGCACTCCAAAAAAAATCTGTGTCAGGGAATGTTTTGGGGAGCAAGCCACTGTTTGTAGCTTGTTGATGTGTGTGGGGCAGTTTAACAAGTGGAGTGATATTCTGCATTTTGGACAATGTGTCTGAGAACCTCTCAATCTGCCATAGGCATCCAGGACACAGATACAACTGAGGCAGTACAGACGGACGTTTGTGAATTTTTGGTGTGTGTTTCTAAAATATATGATGGCGCCTAAGAATGTGGATCTGAGAGGGAAGGAGGCATGGTATAGCCTGAACTTGTCAGATCTTGGAAGCTAAGCGGGGTCGGTATTGGATGGGAGACCACCATGGAAGACTCTGCAGAGGAAGGCAATGGCAAACCACCTCTGCTTCTCACTTGCCTTGAAAGGCCCTTGCTGAGGTCGCCATATGTCAGTTGCAACTTGATGGCACTTTAAAATATCAGTTTAGTGGCATGTATCCAACCATATGTGGAATTTGTGGAACTCACTGACCCCCCCCGTTTCGCTCCGGGGGGGGGATCAGCAGACCTGTAGGAGCAATGCTGGGGGCAAAGTAGAATTATGTAGTTGGAAGAGAATTGAGAGAAATTGCTGCCTCCTCTTCCTCAAATGGAAATGCCATTTCATCAGAGGAACTGCGTGGCAGGATACAAGCCAATATTGATCCCAGGTTAGCTAACGTGGAACACAATTGGGTGAGCTAAGAAAAAGAAACTATTAAAATAGCATCCGTCAAGGAGTCCAAGGCTGAACCCCGTGAGTTTCCAGGACTGATGTACACAAGCAGCTAAACCTTTTAAAAATGTTTGTAAAGCTTTATTTAATATCTTTCAGAACAAAAATGTTTAATCTACAGAAAACACAACGCTCTAAAACAGGGGTGTCGAGCTCATTTGTTATGAGGGCTGGATCTGACATAAACGAGACCTTGTTGGGACAGGCCATGTATGTCATAAAATGTAATGCCAGGTAGCGGAGATATAAACTTGATAAAGGACACAAGCACAACAGGTTTTTTTTTACTTAAAAGAAAACATACTTAAAACACTAGCACTCTTGCAATATTTTGTTTATTTAACAGTGTCTGAAAATTGACGCCCCTTGCTCTGAATTATTGCATCAAAATGTCTGTGCAGTAGCAATCGAGTATGCTGTTCAGGTGCGTATCTGTAAGCTGCAAACATACTTTTGATTTAGAAGAAGAAGAAGAAGAAGAAGAGTTGGATTTATGCCCTGCCCTTCACTACCCAAAGGAGTCTCAGAGCGGCTTACAATTTCCTTTCCCTTCCCTTCCCCTCCCCTCCCCACAACAGACACCCTGTGAGGTAGGTGGGGCTGAGAGAGCTCTGACAGAAACTGCTCTTTTTCAAGAACAGCTGTGCTAGAACTATGGCTTGCCCAAGGTCATCCAGCAGGTGCAAGTGGAGGAGTGGGGAATCAAACCCGGTTCTTCCAGATTAGAGTACCACTACACCAAACTGGCTCTTTTATAGTTTAATTACAGAAATCTCATGCTCAGTGTTCTGAGTCTAGGGCCCAGGGGAAAACATGAAATGGCTGGGCATTACGAGCTTTTGTACATAAATTGCTTCGTGTGCTGGTCAAGAAGGCATCCTGACACATCCTGAGAAGGCATCCTGACACAGACTGAGTGCTATGTATTTGTCTGCAAAACTATAGTCTTTCCCAGAGAAATAACTACAACTCCTCTGAGGCAGTTCAAGAATAGAGAGACAGCTATAGTGGTATCAGCCTACAGTCTGGGAAGCTTAAATTCAAAATCCCCAGTCTACAAAGGAAATGTACTGGGTGAACTTGGTCTGGACACACACTCTAAGCCTAATCCACCTCACTGGCTTGTTGTTATTCCTCATCTAAATAGTTCACATTGCTTTTCTATTGAGAAAGACTGGATCATGAGGGCATGAATACAGTGAAAAGGGGGCGGGAACCCGGTTGCACCCAGGAGCGCCCTGGCATAGTGAGTCCAACAGAACACACACTGTAGCGAGGCACGCAAAAGTCATACCCTGAATAAAACTTTGTTGGTCTTAAAGATGCTTTGTATTTCTCTCTTGCTATTGAGGCAGCTGAGCAAAGCAAGACAGGAGGAAGGGGAGGAGCCTCAGCCAATGGAGGGGAAGAAAGGCTTGCCTTTGTCTCCTGTGTAATTGAGGCAGCCTGGCTAGGAAGCAAGCTCTGGCTCGTTCCCTCCCTCCCCCGGGGAGGGACGGGGGAGGAGCCTCAGCCAGTGCAGAGAACAGAAGCTTGCCTATCTATCTCTCCTATGTGATTGAGAGAGTCTGGTAAAACAATCTGCAATGTAGCAGCAGAACTGGAGAAAGAAGCAGAAGGCAGCCAGTTCCTTGAGGGCTGGATAGGAGCCCTCCGAGGGCCTGATCTGGCCCACGGGCTGCATGTTTGACACCCCTGCTCTAAAATCATGCAGCAAGAAAAACAAGAAGAACACGTTTCCAAGACCTGCGTTAGATGGCAGAAAGCTTAAGAGTCAAAGGCCATAGCTCAATCGTTCTCTACATTGCTGTCTATTGCAAAATGAGCATATCATAGTCCAGGCCTTCAGTCCATCAGAATCCAAACTAGTCTCCTTTCTCCAGGCTCTTAGCTCAATTAAAGTTTTTCGGCCGAGTAGTATCAGGTGATGATGACATCCAATCAGGACACATTCTTGCAGAAACCCTTTAGAAAGTTACGTCATCACTTCTGATTCCCCCCTCCCATCCTGTGGGCTGCAGGTTCTCATAAGAAGCTCATTACCACATTTCCAGCTCTGGCCTTGAAGATGGTAAGGGCTGTGTAGGCCGATAGACCCAATTAGCAACCCCTGCAAGATGGAATAAGCCCGCTACTATTCACGTTAATCCTTGAGAGGAATTGGGGGTTCCTTGCCTCACAGCATCTTGTTCCGCTCTTATTTAATTGTTCAACATGACTCAGCGTAAGATACCAGGAGGCAGCCAGCAGAGTTTTAATTCCCCAAAGGCAGCAAAAAAAGGAATCATCAACCCTATATTTACGTATTCTAAAGTAAGTCTCGGTGAATTTAATGAGGTACATTCTCCAGTAACTATGCAGA